ATTAGGTGAGTCGGCTGTGTCTTCTGATCTTGGGGAAGTGGCCTTATGTAATAGATACCTTTTGAGGCCCAGCAGTGTGCTTCCCTCTCATCACCAGTCCAAATGATCCAGGAGTGAACCCTTTGAGGGCTAGTTGTGTCCTTCTGCTATGACAGGGTTGCTGCTAATGCAGGTGCCCAGGGAGTCTAGTCTTTCTCTCCCTTGCCAGTTGTTTGTAAAACTGGTTTGGGGAGCCTCAGCCCAGCTTGCTACAAGGTCTAACTGCATACTTCTTTTGCCATTTTCCTGTTAATTGGGCAGGTACCCAGTGTAGCTGGTTGCTAGGCTCAGGGGCTTGCAGTTGCTAAGGCCTCAGGTCTATGAGGCTGTTGTCAGTTCTCTTAGGAGTGCAGCTGAGTGGGGCTGGCCCTAGGCATGAAAGCACTCAATGGTTTCAGGCTTTGGAAGGGGGAGCTGATCTTTTTTATGACTATTTGTGAAGCACAGTTCTTCTGCCACTGATAGGACTCATCTCCCACAGGTCCACACACACTGTCAACCCAGTGCTGGTCTGTGCACACTTCCCAACCCCATTGAATGTATCCCAATGGCCCACTGCAGAGGTCCCCACCTCTCCAACATTGCCCCTTACAGTTCACCTGGTCCTCACACAGGCCCTTCCCCCCAGAATCAGACACACTTGCCTGCCTGTAGAGAACCAAGGCACTCAGTCGATGCAGGTTGATGAATAGCCTGAGGGCTTGCTTTTGTGTGGGGCTGGTCCCTAGGGCAGGCTGCCTGCTCTGGCTGAACTAGATTAAATCTGCATTATAGTGGGTGTGGCATACCCCTGGGCTAACAAGCCAGAGGAAGAACTTCACTGGCATCTACTGGGGTCTCTGTCAGCATGCCTCGACTAGGTCACAACAATGGCCATCACCAATTTCTCAGTCCCTGGAGAGGTCTCTCCTCTCACCAAGATGCACTGAGAGCCTACCAGGTGAGTCTCTTTTCACCAAAGGACTGTCAGCCTTCTTTCTGGTGATTTTAGGTTGCTGAGAGGGATGAGTTTGTGACTGGGCCCTTTAAAACCCCGGTAATTTTGGCTTTTGTCCAATAGCTTTTTGGGGGGTATTACCTGCTGCAGTTAATACCCAGCAAAGCCAGATAGTAAAACCCTCCTCTCAGTTGTGCTGAGACTGAAGGATGCTTACAGTAGTATCAGGCCCCCGCTCAGGGCTTTGCTCCTCCAGAGAGGGCTGCGTACGTTAGGGTGGCTCCCACCTGGCCATCTGAGAAACTCTGCTTCTCCTGAAGGTGGGTTTTTTTTCTCTCCAGAAGGAATTTCTGCCTCTTCCACCTTAGTCAGGACTGTCCCTTGTCGTGGGGGTTCTTTTTATCCAGTTTTCAGCTTTCTATCCAGAGTAATTCTTCCAAAAATAGTTGTAACATGGTTGTGTTCATGGGAGGAGATGATTTCAGAGTCTTCCTATGCTGCCATCTTGATGAGATGTCTCCTGTCCTCATTTTCTTATATTGATTAGCAATGTACAACTTAAGATCATGTCTAAAATCCAGTGAGAAATGGCAGTTAGAATAATAATCAATGAACTTAGTGTTAATTTCCTATCTCCCTATACATTCATTTGTCTAATTTATACAATTTATCATTTTCACATGGCATGTACAATTTTTTTTACTTTCATGTTTGGTAAAATATACGTAATGTAAAATTTACAATTTACTGTTTTAGAGTGTATGATTGAGTGGCATTAAGTACATTCACATTGTTGTGCGACCACCATCACTGTCCATCTCTGGAACTTTTTCATCCTCACAAACTGAAACTCTATATCCATTAAGCAATAACTCCTCATTTCTCTCTCCCCTCAATGACCACTAGTCTACTTTGTAACTCTATGAATTTGACTACTCCAGGTACCTTATTTAGTGGAGTCATGGGATATTTGTCCTTTTGTGGCTGCTTTATTTCACTTAGCATATTGTTTTCAAGGTTCACCCATGTTGCAGCATGTATCAGTACTTCATTTTTTTAAAGGCTGGGTCAATATTCCATAGTATGTATATCCCACATTTTGTTTATTCATTTATCTGTCAATGGACCTTTTGCTATGAACATTGGTGTACAAATACCTCTTCAAGCCCCTGCCTTTAATTATTTGGGTATATACCTAAACATGGATTTGCTGGATCCTATGGTAATTATATGTTTAACTTTTGAAGGACCAACTATTCTGTTTTTCACAGTGATTGTACCATTTTACATTCCCACCAGTAATCTACAAAAGTTCCAATTTGTCCACATCCTCACTAACACTTATTTTCTGGGTTTTTTTTTCTTTTGTCTTTGTTTTGTCAACAGCTATCCTGACAGGTGTAAGGTGGTATCTCATTGTGTTTTTAATTCTTATTTTCTGAATGATTAATAACGTTGAACATTTTTCACATACTCGTTGGCCATCCATATATCTTCTTTAGAGAAATGTGTATTCGTATCCATTGCACATTTTCAGTGAACATCAGTGTGTGATGCTATTGAGTTTTAGAAATTCTATATATACTCTGGGTATTAATCTCTTATCACATATATGATTTGTTAATATTTTCTTTCATTTTTGGGTTACCTTTCAGTCTCTTGATAGTGTCTTTTAACATATAAAAGTCTTTTTAGGGGCCGGCCAGTGGCTCAGCAGTTAAGTTCACATGTTCCAGTTCAGCATCCCTGGGTCCGCGGGTTGGGATCCCGGGTGTGTATATGACACTGCTTGGCACGCTATCCTGTGGCAGGCGTCCCAAAAAGTAGAGGAGATGGGCGTGGATGTTAGCTCAGGGCCAGTCTTCCTCAGAAAAAAGAGGAGGATTGGCAGCAGTTAGCTCAGGGTTAATCTTCCTCAAAACAAAAAAGGTCTTTTGAATTTTCATAAAGTCCAGTGTATACATTTTTTTGTTGTTGTCTATGATTTTGGTAACCTATCCAAGAAATCATTTCTAAATTAACGTTATGAAATTTCTATGTCTTCTAAGAGTTTCATAGTTTCAGCTTTTATGTTTAGGTCTTTGATCATTTTGAGTTAATTTTTGTCTATGGTGTAAGATAAGGGTATAATTTGATTCTTTCGCCTGTGGATATACAGTTTTCCCAGCACCATTTGTTGAAAAGACTGTCTTTTCCCATTAAAAGGAAAACGGCCTTATTGAAAATCATTTGACCATATGTGTGAATGTGTATTTCTGGCTTTCTAATCTATTCCGTTGGTCAATATGTCTGAATTTTTGCCAAGACTACATTGTTTTCACTGCTGTAACTTTGTAGTAAGTTTGGAAATCAGGAAGTGTGGGTCCTCCTGTTCTTTTTAAAGATTGTTTGGCTATTTGAAGTCTCTTGAGATTCTATATAAATTTTAGGATGGATTTTTCTGTTTTTCTGTAAAAGAAGCATCAATAGAATTTTGATAGAGATTGCATTGAATCTGTAGATTGCTTTGGGCAGTATTGACATTTTAATAATATTATGCCTTCCAGTCTATGAACACAGGATATCTTTCTATTTATTTATATCTTCCTTTTTTTTTTTTCTTAGTATTTGTTGTTGTTTTCAAAGTATACACCTTTTGTCTCCTTGGCTAAGTTTGCTTGGTAATAATAATTGATGCTATTGTAAATGGAATTGTTTCCTTAATTTCCTTTTTAGAATGTTCATTGTTACTGAAAGGAAATGCATTTGAGGGGCTGGCCTGCTGGCATATCCATTGAGTTGTGCACTCCGCTTTGGCAGCTGTGGCTTCATAGGTTTGGATTCCAGGTGCAGACGTAGACACATCTCACCAACTCATGCTGTGGCAGTGTCCCACACACAAAAATAGAGGAAGATGGGCACAGATGTTAGCTCAGCAGCAATCTTCATTGGACAAAAAGAGAATGATTGGCAACAGATGTTAGCTCAGAGCCAGTCTTCCTCACACAACAAAGAAGAAATACATTTGATTTCTGTGTGTTAATATTTTATCCTGCAACCTTACTGTACTCATTGATTTGTTCTAACAGGCTTTTATTGTGTCTGGAGTATTTTGAGTTTTCTACAAATGAGATCATGTCATCTGCAAGTAGAGATAATCTTACTTCTACCTGTACAATTTTTATACCTTTTATTTATTTTTCTTGCCTAATTGTTCTGGCTAGAACTTCCAATATTATGTTGAAGAGAAGGGGTAATAGAGGGCTGGCATAGGCGATATCATTTACTTATTGACTGTGTGTTAATTTCGAGGAAATAATTCCAAAATGCTAATTTTCATTTTCATTTGATATCTTCATAGTTAAATGATTTAATCATATATGATGCGAATATTTTTTAAGAAAACAAAAGAACACAAGCTAGAAGGGCAGTTAATAAAATATAAAAAGGCTAATAAGGCAAAAAGGCACATATCCAGATGATTAATTACCACGGAATTTCCCAGTTTAACATAACAAGGATTTTACAACGGATAAAAATGAAGTTAAAATAGTTCTCTTGCCAGGTTATTCTGATCAATATTGTAATAATGATTCATGCTGATTTATAATCCAAAATATTAACTTATATTTGAAACCCAAAATTAATGAATTATGTTCCAATTTTTGAGGAGAAAAATCATTAACAATTATCCAACCAATTATTCATAAAAGAACATCAACATAATATAGAAACCTCCCCTGATAAGTATTCTCAATTCAATTCCGAATTGTAAGTGTCAAACAAAAATTATATGACATCATTAGATAAACCACGTCAAGGCTAACACCCTTAGAGGTTTTTTTCTTAAATTTATCATGATTGATTTTTATATTGGAATTCCAGAATCTTTCTAGCAGAATCAGAGTAACATGGAAAAAAAACCCCTCAACTTGATCATTTCTTATGCATATATAACAAAAGGTTAATTATTTTCTCATATTATATCAAATTTGTGAATGATTATGAAATCATTTTTGGGTTTTTTTTGTACGTTTCATTTTAGTATTGTGTAAATAAAACCTGCAAAGGAGTTCATTTAATGGGATATAACTGCAATGCCACTACAAAATGCAAAGGGAATGGGGTAAGTAACTTTTCTTTTTGAATTTCTAAATTGAATGTTATTTTTGTGGGTAATTCAAAGTAAAAATTTATCCTGTTTTGAAGAATTGAGAGTCCAAGTTACTTTTAAATTGACCTTGCTTAGGAATAGCTAACTAACATAAAGATCAGCTAAGCTAAGTCAAGCACTATTAAACAAATTGTACTATATGTGTATTGAATTTATTCTAAGTACCTACAACTTATGAACTAGTAACATGTTTAAATGGAAAACATTTTTTCTTTTCTTATGCAAATAAATGTATGTTCTACTTATATTAACATATTTCATTCTTCCTCATACTCTTTATAATTGAAATTTATGACTGTATAATATTTTACAAAGAGTATACTTAAATAAAATGTTGCTGGGGCTGGCCAAGTTGCATAGTGGTTAAGATTAATGGCTTCACTTTGGCAATGTGGGGTTTGCAGGTTCAGATCCCAGGCACAGACTTGCAGCACTCATCAAGACATGCTGTGGTGTCCCACATAAAAAATAGAGGAAGACTGGCACAAATGTTAGCTCAGGGACAATCTTCCTCAACAACAAAATCAAAAAATCATGTGGACATGTTAGAGAATTTTGTGATTGTTCTTATAAAGAGGTTCCTAATAGGAAAAGTACTCCCGTGCAAAAAACCTTTTATTTCATCTCAACTGCTTACCTGTGTTAATCTGGTAATATAAGTTACTTTTACATTCAATTTTAATTTCTTAAAATTTATAATTTTGGTTTTCTGAAAATTATTTTCCTAAAAGAAAATAAGTGTATGATACAGTATCATTATAAGAATGATTCCAAATTCACCAAATTACTGTTTTCAATTTTATAAATCCTTTGTATTTTATTATTGCAGTAACAATGGGTTGTAACATTACATAAATTTCAGGTATACATCATCATATCTAGATTTCAGTGTAGATTACATCATGTTCACCACCAAAAGACTAATTACAATCCATCACCATATATATGTGTCTAATCATCCTTTTTGCCCTCCTCCCTCCCCATCCCCTCTGGTAACCACCAATCCAAACTCTGTCTCTATGAATTTTTGTTGTTGTTGTTTTTATCTTCTCTTTATGAGTGAGATCAGACAGTATTTGACTTTCTCTCTCTGACTTATTTTGCTTAACATAATACCCTCAAGGTCCATCACAAATGGCCAGATTTCATCACTTTTTATGGCTGAGTAGTATTCCATTGTGTCTATGTACCACATCTTCTTTATCCACTGCTCACTGATAGAGACCTAGGTTGCTTCCAAGTCTCGTCTATTGTGAACAACACTGCAGTGAACATAAGGGTGCGTATATCTTTACTCACTTCTGTTTTCATGTTTTTTGGATAAATACCCAGCGGTGGAATAGCTGGATCATGTGGTAGTTCTATTCCTAATTTTTGGAGGAATCTCCAGACTGTTTTCCATAGTGGCTGCACCACATTGCCCTCCCACTACCAGTGTATGAGAGTTTCCTTTTCTCTACATCCTCTCAAACCTTTGTAATTACTTGTCTTGTTAATTATAGCCATTCTGATGGGCACGAGGTGATATCTCATTGTAGTTTTGATTTGCATTTCCCTTATAATTAGTGATGTTGAACATCTTTTCGTGTGCCTTTTGGCCATCTGTATAGCTTCTTTGTAGAAATGTCTGTTCAGATCTTTTGCCCATTTTTAAATGAGGTTGTTAGTTTTGTGGTTGTTGGATTGTATAAGTTCTTTATATAGTTTGGATATTAACGTCTTATCAGTTATATAGTTTGTAAATATCTTCTCCCAATTGTTAGCTTGTCTTTTCTTTTTGTTGATGGTTTCCTTTGCTGTGCAGAAGCTTTTTAGTTTGCTGTATTACCATTTGTTTATTTTTTCTACTGTTTCCCTTGCCCGGTCAGACATGGTACTTGAAAATATGCTGCTAAGACTGATGTTGAAGAGTGTACTGCCTATATTTTCTTGTAGACGTTTCATGGTTTCTGGTCTTACATTCAAGTCTTTAATCTATTTGACTTAATTTTTGTGTATGGTGTAAGATAATGGTCTACTTTCATTCTTTTGCATGTGGCTGTCCAGTTTACCAAACACCATTTATTGAAGATACTTTCCTTTCTCCATTGTATATTCTTGGCTCTGTTGTCAAAAATTAGCTGTCCATAATGTGTGGGTTTCTTTCTGTGCTCTTGATTCTGTTTCATTGATCTGTGTGCCTGTTTTTGTGCTAGTACCATGCTGTTTTAGTTACTATAGCTTTGTAGTATATTTTGAAATCAGGGAATGAGATACCTCCAGCTTTGTTCTTTTTTTCTCAGGATTGCTTTTGCTACTCAGAATCTTTTATTGATTCACATAAATTGTAAGGTTCTTTGTTCTATTTCTGTGAAAAATGTTGTTGGAACTTTGATAGAGATTGCAATGAATCTGTATATTAATTTAGGATGTATGGACATTTTAACTATGTTAATTCTTCCAGTTCAAGACCAAAGAATATCTTTCCATTTCTTTGTGTCTTCTATCTCTTTCAACAATGTTTTTTAGTTCTCAGTGTACATGTCTTTAACCTCTTTGGTTAAATTTATTCCTAGGTATTTTATCATTTTTGTTACAATTGGAAATGAGATTATATTCTTAGTTTCTCTTTCTGCTACTTCATTATTAGTGTATACAAACACAAGTGATTTTTGTATGTTGATTTTGTATCCTTCAACTTTACTGTATTCATTGATTATTTCTAAATGTTTTTTGGTTGATTCTTTAGGGTGCTCTATATATAAAGTAAGTCATCTGCAAATAGTGACAGTTTCACATCTTCCTTTCCAATTTGGATTGTTTTATTTCTTTCTCTTGCCTGATTGCTCTGACAGGGACTTCCAATACTATGCTAAATAAGAGTGGTGGAAGTGGGCATCCTTGTCTGGTTCTTGTTCTTAGAGGAATAGTTTTCAATTTTTCCCCATTGAGAATGATATTAGCTATGGGTTTGTCATACATGGCCTTTCTTATTTGGAGGTACTTTCCTTCTTTATCATAAACGGATGCTGTATCTTGTCAAATGCTTTCTCTGCATCTATTAAGATGATCATGTGATTTTATTCTTCATTTTGATAATGTGGTGTATCACGTTGATTGATTTGTGCATGTTGAACCATACGTGCATCCCTGGAATAAATCCCACTTCTTCATGGTGTATGATCTATTTAATGTTTTGTTGTATTTGATTCAATAGTATTTGGTTGATGATTTTTGCATCAATGTTCTTCACTGATATAGGCCTGTAATTTTCTTTTTTTATGTTGTCCTTGTCTTGTTTTGCTATCAGGGTAATTTTGGCTTTGTAAGATGAGAGAGGAAACTTTCATTCCTCTTCTATTTTTTGGAGGAGTTTGAGAAGCATAGGTATTAAATCTTCCTTGAGTGTTTGGTAGAATTCATGAGGGAAGCTCTTTGCTCTTGGACTCTTATTTTGGGGGAGGTTTTTAATTACTGTTTTGATCTCCTTTCTGTTATTGGTTTATTCAAATTCTTTATTTCTTCATGATTCAGTTTTGGAAGGTTGTATGATTCTAAGAATTTATCCAGTTTTTCTAGATTATCCAATTTGTTGACATATAGATTTTTGTGGTATTCTCTTATAGTAATCTTTTATATTTCTGAGATGTCCATTGAAGTTTCTCCTTTTTCATTTCTGATTTTATTTATTTGAGCCTTCTTTCTTTTTTTCTTGATGAGTCCAGCAAAAGTTTTGTTAATTTTCTTTATCTTTTTGAAGAACCAGCTCTTGGTTTCATTGATTTTTTTTCTCTATTTCATTTATTTTCACTCTGATTTTTATTATTTCTTTCCTTCTACTGATTTTTGGCTCTGTCCTTCTTTTTCCAGTTCCTTTAGAAGCACTGTTACATTGTTTATTTAGATTTTCCTTGCTTGTTATGGTAGGCCTGTTGCTATAAACTTCCTTCTTAGAACAACTTTTGCTGTATCCCATAAGTTTTGGCATGTCGTATTTTCATTTTCATTTGTTTCCAGTTATTTTTTTTATTTATCCTTTGATTTCTTCGTGGAGCCAGTAGTTGCTCAGAAGTGTTTTGTTTAATCTCCACATATTTATAGCTTTTCTGATTTTCTTCCTGTGGTTGATAGCTAGTTTCATGTTGTTGTAGTCAGAAAAGATGCTTGGTATTATTTCAGTCTTCTTAAATGTATTGAAACTTGTTTTATGGCCTAATAATGACCTATCCTGGAGAATAGTCCATGTTCGTTGGAAAGGAATTTTCTGAAGTTTTTGGATGCAATATTCTGTACATATCTGTTAAGTCCATCTGACCTAATGGGTCATTTGGGGCCAATGTTTCCTTATTGATTTTCTCATTGGATGATCTATTCATTGGTATAAGCAGAGTGTTAGATTACCCTACTATTATTGTGTTACTGTCTATTTCTCCTTTTATGCTTGTTAATAATTTCTTTATATATTAAGTGCTCCTATGTTAGGTACATAGATATTTACAAGTATTTATCCTCTTGTTGGATTGGTCCCTTTATAATTATGTAGTGTCCTTTGTTTTGTGTTACAGTTTTTGTTGTAAAGTTTGCTTTGTCTGATGTAAGTAATGTTACGCAAGCTTTCTTTGCTTTGTCATTTGCATGGAGTATCTTTTTCCATCCCTTCACTTTCAGTTTGTGAGTGTCTTTAAGTCTGAAGTGTGTCTCTTGTATGCAGCATATATATATAGGTATTATTTTTTATCCAATTGGCCATCCTATGCCTTTTGATTGGAGCACTTAGTCCATCGACATTTAAAGAAGTTATTGGTGGGGCAAGTCCTGTGGCCAAGTGGTTAAGTTCACACGCTCTGCTGTGGCAGCCCAGGGTTTCACCAGTTCAGATCCTGGGCATGAACATGGCACCACTCATCAAGCCATGCTGAGGCGGCATCCCATGTGCCACAACTAGAAGGACTCACAACTAAAAATATACAACT